GTACCCACACCCACTCGCACAGCCGCGCCCACCGTACCCACACCCACGCTCGCCAACACTCATCCACACTCACACCCTCAAGATCGAAAGAAATTCGTCTCCTCACGTGACTACATCTGAATCTAACTTGTAATGTATGGTATAGGTGATTTTTGACCACTAGCATGAAGATTAAAGAAAGTTGTTTCACTCATTCGAACCCAGTTGATTTTGCCGTCTTTTACACTGATCTTTTAGAAAAAAGAATTCTCTGCAAGATTATAATGTTTACAAAAAGAATCAATACCATATTCTATGTACTGCTCGAAGAATATTATAGGTACCCCCATGGATCATGAGTAAATGACTATTAGCTTGCTTACTGTTCTGCAGGACAGTAACCATCTAAAGAGCATTTCTGGTGTAGTTTTTAATGCTCTTTCTATTGGTGGTCTCGAAATTGGGATCGACTGTAACATGGGGGAGGAAAACGTAGTTTTCCAAAATCTTCTGTTGGTCCTTGTAATCGTAGGGTTTCGACCATTTCTTAAATAGAAGCTAGAACAAAAAGTAGCTCATTTTGTAGAGCACAATTTTCTCTATCGAATGGTATATTATAAAGAAAATTTTAGCTCCAATGGGTACATTGGGGATAGTCAAAAGTAAGTTATCCACTATAAGTTTGGATAGCAAAAAAAGCATCAATTTTAGACAAATCTCTTTTTAATGAAAATAGGTAACCTTGCCCAATTTCTGAGTTCATATTCAGATAGAGCATATCTGAATCCATATGGATAGACTGACAGATCGAGTCAAGTTATCAATGAAAAGATAAAAACATTACAAACATGTCTGTTCTTATAATTTTAGCCAGTACTGTATATCCATTGATTTCTCAAGATATCAGTCAAAAATGTGACAATAAATTCTCATCATTCATGTATGAATGATTGGTTTTATCAATAAATTTTTCTCTTATTTTTATTATATTTATCAGAAAGAAAAACGAAATAAACTATATTTAACAAGTTACAAACCGATTGATTATAACTCAATGGATTTTATTATTATTTATCTTTAAAATATTTCATATCGATACAGAAACATATATCGATCGTGTTTGACTTTTGTCTATCATAATGAATAATCTTCATCAAATATTTTCAAATGAGTTTTCTATGAGATCAATAATTTGATTATGTGTTTTATGTTAGTTGAAAGTTAGATTTCTCTTTCTCAAACAGCTGATTTTTAGAAAAAAATTTTTCTCTTATTAATCAATTTATATTTTAAGAAAGAGATTATCTCTCTTTCTCTCTTTTCAATATTTTATAGTTATTCTTATTCATATAACCAAGTTTCACAAATAAATTTTATTTCAAATATTTCAAGTTTTGTTTTCTGAGAGAAATTAGCCAAGTTATCTTCTTAAATCTATAGATATACAATTTCTTAAGTATATCATGAAATCTAAATCTATATATTGTTTGTGAAATAAATCGATCAATAAGAGAGTCAAATTATGCTTCTCTAGGAATATATTCGACAAATCAATAACGGTAACATCTCATCATATATGACAAGATAAATAATATCAATCGATATTGTCTCAAACTAAACTACACGAACTTCAATTGCAATATAAACAACAGTATACAGTGGCAGTAAAGCATACAGCAGAAAACTCTGTAATCCCTTTCTAAGTGTTTATGTCATACGTTTTATTGATAATAATATAATAAAAAATACAATATCATAAAAAGAAATCTCAAGTTTATCAGACTGAAATTATCTCCACGTCATTTGCAATAGTTTTACAATAAATACTAAATATCAAGCACATGAATAATCATTTACATAACCAGCTGAATGAATAAAAAATGTAAAAGCTGTTCCACTAAGATCAGTATCTTCCGAATAGACTTCATGTTGTTCTTTATGAATCTAAATAGAAACAGCTTTTCAACTCAATTTAAAATAAATCTTACTAATCTTACAATAAAATATTTTTCTTTTCCGTTTTGTAATATAACTTTTTTTTTCATTGGAAAGTCTTTATCCCATTCGAAGGAAAAGAAATTGTTTATTTTTGCATGATTTTCTTCTCTACAACATACAAAATGTAAATGAATTCGTTTATAAAAAATTCAAATATCCTTACATATGAATACCAATAAATATGCATAAACTTGGATGTTGATAAAGTACAGCAATTGGTACATAACATTCGTCATTGACATCAATTTTGGAAATTATATTAAGTTGCTTTGTATCAGTAGAGTTCATATTTAATATATATAATGGTATTGTTGTATTGTTATGAACTTTCACAATAGAACTAATAATAATATGATGATAACCATTATGTATATAACTTTCCCAAAGCATTTGTATTGGCCAATTTTCATTTAATGATGGACCTAAATTGATAACCCGTTTGCATGTATCATTTATATTAATAGTTTTAATAACATCTCCAACCTAAAAATAAATTTAAATACATGTAAAACATCATTTTTTGATATTTTGCTTGCTTTAAAAATAAGTTCTTGTTTTTTTTCCAAATTTTGTCGTTCGACAGATTGAAATTCTTCTGTTAATTGACTTCCACGTGGAGTCATTAATGAAATGAATTCATCTTGTGTTAAATTCACTGGATTCGATAAAATATTTTGAAAAATCTTCAAATAAAATAAAGAGATCAAAGAAAGTAAATAAAATTATATTTACATTAAAACCATTTAAATTATTTGTTGATAATTGTTGACCAGTTTCGTTAAACAAGAATATCATTTGTTCATCATCATTATCACCTTGAATAGAATTAATCTTAAATAAAACGAAGATATATTAAATTAAAAATTAAGATTTTCATATTTACTTCTGTTTTTAAATTTTCATTTATTTCAAATATATCAATATTTGATAATACAGGTGATGACGGTTCCTTTTCGATCACATCAACATAGCCGTCAACTATGCACAAATATAAAGATATATTAGGTTTTGATTAAGTATCGTTTGAACTTACAGTCATCAATCCAACTTTGAATTCTGTTGTACTTCCAAAAAACATCTTCTTCTGGCAAAATGCTTCTTCGAATTTGTATTGAAGAACATTTAGATAAATTACTACTACCATCATCATTACCATCATCAGAATTATTACCATTATTATTATGTATCTTCATTAAGGGTAGAAAATTAATTTCGGATTTCTCTGCCTTGCTTTCTGTTAATTCTCTCATTTCTGCTTCATACAGAACTGAGTTAATATAGAGTAAATCTTGATTTGAAACATATGCAGGTACTACATCTCTCAATTCTTCAGGTTGAATAATGAGGGATTTTAATATCACGTATGTATTTGTAAGAGTACTTGGACCATTCGTTCTTGATAATGTTGTAATTGATTTTCTTCCTAAAACAGCTTCTTTTGGCGCAATTGACAAAAGACGATTGAGAATAAAATTTTTTGATAATGGTTGAAATAATTTAACACTTGGATCATTTACATTAGTCTTGCCAAATGTTGCTGTTACCATGATTTCAATATTTGGTGATGTTCTCCAAATTATACAGGGTCTACCTTTAGGTTTTCTATTCTCTTTTTTATTCGAACTTGAAGCTGATGACTTTGATGATATGCTTGACTCACATGACGTTAATTTGTATTTGCATAGTTCTTCAAATATTTTGGTCACGCTTTTTCTGACCTTGTATATTTCACCAACACGTAGACCTGTATTTTTCCCTAACAATAAAAAATAAAATCAAATGCAATATAAATATTAGAAGGAGAGAAGACTCGTTGTAAAAAGTTTTAATATCAACTGGCACCAACAATTCTGACTAGGAGGTGGCACTTTAACTTTAAAAAAGTATTAAAGTTTAAAGTGTTTTACCTTAACTTTAAGTTTAAAATTTAAAGTGCCACTTTAACTTTTAAAGTAAAGTTAAAGTACCACTCCTAATTCTGACAAACAACGAATCGATTATAGCAAAGGCCGCAAAACTTGTCCAGAGAAGCTCTGATGCATGAATCTTCTACTACCTCTATGTGTGCAATGTTATTTCTAATTCACTAGGCGGCTGACATTTAAAAAGTTTTTCGATGACACATTTTGATTTCAATTTTTTTCTGTAGAGTCAATCTAGATTCTAGATAATTTATTTCTACAGTATCCCATGTTAATCTCGTGATAATTTACCTTGATTTATATATGTGTCTGATTGTTGATGAGTTATATGTAAAATTTCACTAGATATTGATGAAGCTTTATCCGATGTACCAATCACTGCTGAGGCAGTAGATGGACGATCAAAAATCAATGATTGCTTTTGTTCTAATGATGATAACGATGATGGAGCAAATATGTCACGTGAAGATGCTACTGGTTGATCTTGATCTTCGTGAACAGTTTTTAATTCTTTAATATTACTAGTTGCAAAAACCAAGATAGGCATAATTGTATTAGTATCTTTACTAATGGATGACTTATCTCCAACGTTTTCTTCACCGAAACACTTCACATTTGAAAGAAATAATAAATTGTTTTTGACGTCTATACCTTAATGAAGAAAATGTTTTTTTTTTTTTATAAAAAAATCAACGTACCAGAAACAGTTCCAACATATCGACATCGACTGTTATCATATGTAACAATTTCGACTTTACTATCAATAGCACAATAATTCATTTCGAAAAAATATATCAAAAATAAGACTAGTCGTATAGAAAAAAACGCACTTGTGATAATGATCTCAATCGATCGGATAGTTATTGTCTATTCTTTATGACGATTCGACCAATCAGAGACAAAAGTAATAAAA